GTAAATTAGTGTGATCGTCTGCGTGCGCGTCTGAGCTATTATAAGCATATTAACACAGGCCCTGCGGGAAGCGCTGGTAATCAGGTCTGCTTGACAGAGCCAACGGGGGAAGTCTCTAGAGTATCCATCCATCCCATGTGCTCCAATGTATATGATGCAGCTCTCTTTGCTAATAAATGCCTGTCTCCCTTTCTTATGCTGTACTGTATGTTTTTCTTTCTAACAGTTTCTTTTGTCTCTTTGATTTCTTGTTCTCAAACCATCTTAAATAGTCTTTAGCTTCTATCTTTAGGTTCTAGTGTGTAGCTTCTACCACAAAAATGGTTATACTGTAGTACAGATTGGCTGTATATATTTTTATTTTATTTAATCAAAAATAATTTATATTTATGTATTTAAATGTAATACATAAAATAAATACATTTAGATTTATATACATGAACATGTAAATTAGTGCTGTCAAACGATTAATCGTGATTAATCGCATCCAAAATAAAAGTGTGTGTTTACATAATATATGCCTGTATACTTTGTATGTTTATTATGTATATATTAACGCATACATGTCCATGCATATACATAAGAAAAATATGTTACATTTATATATAAAATATTTATATTTATATATAATATCAATTATATATAAATATAATAGGGCTGGGACAATAAATCGATGCATTGCGAATCGAGAAATGATTCTGCATCGATTCTTATATTTTCCGAAGGCATCGCGATTCTCTCTTGAATCGATTCTGAGCTTAGTTTTTAACAGCAGATGGCACTGTGTGCTTTAGAAATAGCCGTATTCTGCTTGCTTCCAGTTCCTTACACGCGCACCATTTGAGCCTAAAATAATCATTCATAAAGTTCGAAAAGGTTGAAGCGAATTACAAGGATGTTCACAGTGGGCTGTGTTTACGTTAATCTCGCATCATAAAACATAAAAGCCGAAGTGCAAGTACATTTAACCACAAGCCGAACATGCAAGCGCTCTTCTTCGTGAGCATTTGAGTGTGCCCGTATTCTGCTTGCTTCCAGTTCCTTACACGCGCACCATTTGAGCCTAAAATAATCATTCATAAAGTTCGAAAAGGTTGAAGCGAATTACAAGGATGTTCACAGTGGGCTGTGTTTACGTTAATCTGGCTAAACGCCAATGTGCAAGTACATTTAACCACTTTGGCCAAACTCAGCCAAACGCGCAAGCGCTCTTCTTCGTGAGCATTTGAGTGTGCGGTTAAAAACTAGCCTAGAGTGCCATCTGCTGTTAAAAACTAAGCTCAGAATCGATTCGAGAGAGAATCACGATGCATTCCGAAAATCTCAGAATCGATTAACGAATCGTGATGCATCGATTTATTGTCCCAGCCCTAAAATATAAGTATATATACACATGCAAATATTTTTTAAATATATACATGTATCTGTGCGCATTTATATATACATATTAAATATACACAGTACACACATATATTATGTAAACGCAAACTTGTATTTTGGATGTGATTAATCGCAATTAAGTGTTTGACAGCACTAATTTAAATTAATTTATTTTATTTAATAAATGTCTTTAAATAAGGTCTTATATAAATGAATGCAAATATATATATATTGTTTTATTTTTTATTGTGATAAAACAATAAATATACATTTGCAATCATTTACTGGTTTGATCATCTGTGCTTTAGCTGTTAGAACGTTGTCTTTCATCTCTCTTAAAGCACCATTGCTACATCCATACACATTCAAATTGATTTCTGTGTTGTTTATCACAATGTTTTTGGAGTGTCTCATCTTGAGCTTTGCATTTTTATAAGACGGTGCAAAGTTAAAGGTGGGGTAAGTGATTTCTGGTAGCCAATGTTGATATTTCAAATCACCAAAATAAACACGCCCCTATTTTGATAGCTCCACCCCACACATACGTGCGCAACCCAGGCAACGATTAGTTCTGTGAAACAAAGCAAAACCAATGTTACAGCGTGTCGCGAGTGGTGCGGCATGACAAAATACTATAGAACTCATTATAATCAGTGATGCTGTCTACACTGGATGCGGCGCGACACGACAAATCCCCGACAGTTACTGTTGCCGCATTCTATTTATGACGTATTGACACAAATTTCAAATGATTTTCAATGGTCGCTTTGTCGTGTCCAGTGTAGACAGACTTTAGCTGTTGCAGCGGTGTAGACACGGTGTTACTCACCTATCGAGAAGAAACAAAGCAACCTTGGCGTCCGATCGCAGGCCTTCCGCTCCTTGAGTTCTCTCCAGCGCTGGAAAGCTCATCCAAAATTTACACGGGTCCTACTTATTGCCTTATTGTAAGCCTTCTTTTGTTCCGCAGACATTTTCCTTTTTTGTGTTTTTATTCGCCATCTCTATCTTTCTGTCGTCGCTCGGCTCGGCTAATGTCCGTCCTGTGCACTGAGTGCTCTCTCCTCCACATCATGAGTAGACACACCCCTTACTGCTGAATGGCTGCAAGTTTGTTTTGGTACTCGGCCCGACTCAGTTTTCTAAAGCGTTTTTGAAAAAATACATACCCCACCTTTAAAGTTCATTTTGAGAGTGATATTCTGTTCCATTCTGTCTTTTGAAAATATGTATTACAAATCCGTATATTAAAAGCAGTACATTTAGTTTAAACTTTTCTTTGTTTATAATCTATTTTTTGAAGCATTCAGTTTTAAATGCAGGTCAAATGTTTTGTGCCCTACATTATTCAAATGCATTTGTATCGTTACAATAGTATCTGCATTTAAAATCCCGTCTGCACTGACCTGTGAACTACTTTTCGCAGCAAAATAATGTAAACGTAAAAACACGCAGTCTGTGGGGTGCTTCATTCTCCGCCTCTTGACTAAGATGAATTTAGCATTGGGTTTTAGGAACTCGCTGAAGTATAAATCATGCCCCCCAAATGATTTTTTTAAATTTCATGTTGAGGATGTGCTTCATGATTGTGAATTATTCTAAGCATCCATAAATGCTCATGGTAATTTAGAAAGAGCCTCAGAGAATCCACTTGTTTTCTAGTGTTTTCTTCCTTCAGTTCTTCCTGCTGCATCTTATGGAAATCCTCTTTTCCTGCATATGCTGGTGGAATTTATTAGCAACCCACGCAACTCATCTTTTCACACACTCTGTGCAAAAGGTCAAGTCGACCAATCAGCTCCAGAGAAGAGAGTGCTGCACGCTGAATGAGTGTACTGGGCACTCTATACATTAGAGACAAACAAAGTCAACGTTAAAAGTGCAAACATTTACGAAAGAGAGCAAAAAACAACAAACACACACACACACACACACATACACACACACAGACACACACACACACACAAACTGGTCTCCACGTATAATTGTAGACATATTTTAGATAATTGCCGTACAGGAGAGGTTGTGTAGAGGCCCTTATACAGAGATGGTTTGAATATGTTGTATGCTAATTACTTTGGAGACGCCCTCCCTCATTTATATTTAACGCTGGTTCATTAACATTAGTTTGAACAAATGTATGTTTACTCACCAGTTTGTTTGTTTGTTTTCTCATCAAACTTTTTCTGTGCACATGAAAACCTTTTTCCACCACTGATTAAGATAAAAAATAATAATAAAAAGGCAACTTTAGATTTAATTAACATGTAAACTCATAATTGTGAGATATATACTTGCATTTCTGAGAAAAAAAAAAAATTGCAATCTGACGTTTTTGCAATTCTGACATTTCTTTCTTTGAATTCTGAGTTTACATCTCACAATTCTGTTTGTTTTTGTTTCCATCACAAAATAAAATAAAAAAGAGTAATTGTGGCTTTATCTCATAATTCTGACGTTTTTCTCTCAATTGCGAGTTTATATCTCACAATTTAGACCGTTCTTTTCAAATTTGTCAGATTTATCAATTGCAAGTTATAATTCAGAGTTTGTATCTCACAATTCTGAGTTTGTCTCAATTGCGAGAAATAAATCTGAATTGTAAAATGTAAACTCAGAATTGTGAATTGTGAGATATTAAAGTCACAATTATTTATTTTTTTTTTATTTATTTATTTATTTAAATCCTGTGGCAGAAACAATCTTCCATACTTTTCAATTTGTTCTTTAAAAAAAAAATATCAATAAATAAATTGTGAGTGCAACTTACTTGAATTAACCAGAAACACAAAATGTTTAGGTCGAGGTGTCAAAAAGAGTTAATCCCTTGGAATGATTTTGTCTGTTCAGGCACTCGTGACACTACACACTGAACGTGCTGATTCAAAGTATTACATTCAGCAAAGTAGACAAAAAATTTGCCATTTTCCACTAAACTTCACTTTTTTGGGGCAGGTAGCCTCATCTGAGCAAGAATGAGTTGAAATATATGCTCTCATGTGTGTGTGTGTTCACATTACGAGGGATTTTCATGTGCCCGAGGACTAGGCCAGATATAGAAAACACTTTGGTGACGGGTCTCTGTTGGCTTATGTAGGTTTACTCAGGAGCTGCTACAAGATGAGGTTTGTAGCAGCACACTTAAAATATTCCTCACACAATGGTGAGATTTACATTTCATTCAAGGACAAGGCGAAGTTCGGTGGAGAGATGTATTACATTATTGTGTAAATGTAAAACAGCGCTAATAGTATGTGTGGGCTTTAGCATTTGTTATTGTACAACCTTATGCATCACTTCCATACTAATAAAGACACGTGTGTAGCAGCGTATTCTGACTAGATTGTATAGATGTTTCCAGCTCTAAAATCTGATTGGACGAGTCACATATAAAAAAAAAAACAGACATATGCAAATTGATGACCCTACATGGTTTATATTGTATTTTTGTTTTATGTATTATTATTGTTATTAAATATATGAATACATACAACATATTAGTGTTCTGTATCATATTCCTGTTGGCACCACTTCGTGAAATAATAAATCCTCTATATCTCATACATTACCTATCTAATCCTATTTCTTTAATATAATTGTTTCGTCATGTGTCTGTCTAGAACCTGATGATGATGAGCAGAAGGTGAAGACACAAAGGCCGCGATCAGCTGACCAGCCGGGTGTGTTTCAGGCCCAGACAGGTGAGTCCCATCTCCTTTCATTATTAAGTTGAATTACATTTCAGAACCATGGACAGCTCCTTGATGTGTTTCAAGAGAAAAAAAGTGTCTGAAAATAGCAACTCCTACAAGATATGTATGTATGTTATAAGTAAAAAATAAAATACTCCAGTCTTCAGTGTTACATTTGCTGTTTAGTTATTATTAAACATTATTGGTGCTCAGTGCATAATAATGGTTCTTATTATCATCAGTGATGAAAACAATTTTTGCTGCTTAATATTTTTGTGGAAACCATAATACATTTTTGTCAAGATTCTTTGATGAATAGAAGTTCAAAAGAAGAGCATTTTTACAAATAGGAATCTCTTGTAACATTATAAATGTGTTTAGTGTCACTTGATGAAGTTATGGTGTCCTTGCTGAATTAAAGTATTAATTAAAAAAATATTAAGCATCAAAACTGGCTTGTGCACCAAATCAGCATATTAGAATAATTCCTGAAGGACCATGCGACATTGAAGGAATAAATTACACACACACACTCACACATTTTAATATCAGTCATAAGTAGCACGGGTATATTTATAGCAATAGCCAACAATACCTTGTATGGGGCAAAATTATAGATTTTTAATAATTAAAAATCATTAGGATATTAAGTAATATATAGGATATGAATTAAGTTCTATCCTAACCAAACCATACATCAATGGAAAGCTTATTTATTAAGCTTATTTATGTTATGATATATAAACTCATTTTCAAAACAGTTTTGTGGTCCTGGGTCACATATTATATATAAAAAATGCACAACAGTTTTTTTAATTGTTACATTTTTGTTTTAAAACTGGGTCACACTTTATTTTAAGGTCCAGTTCTCACTATTAACTAACTATTAACTATGACTTTTGCCTCAATAAACTGCTAATTACTGCTTATTAATTGTTATTAAGGTAGTTGTTAAGTTTAGGTATTGGGTAGGATTAGGGATGTAGAATATTGTAATGCAGAATATGTAAGGGATAATCAACGGCTAGCCCTGCATTAAAGGATTTTAAATGCATGACGTGGAGGCAAAGAACCGCCCGACGTGAAGTAAATCCTTTAATGCACAGCTAGCCGTTGATTATTCCGCTTATTCCATGGTCATTTGAGAGAGATGACAGTTGTGTGTACCTGCGTGCTGCGTCTGCACGTCTCTCTCTACAAACAATTACTTCAGAAACAGCCATTTTACCATCGTTGCTGAGGAATATAATGTAGCGATCTAGTATCTAGGCTATTTTATTAATAAAAATCGCAGGGAAGCGTTGACAAGTTTATGTGTGTGTGCAGCGCGATCTTCGATCTCTCTCTCTTTCTCTCTCTCTGTGTGTGTGTGTGTGTGTGTGTGTGTGTGTGTGTGTGTGTGTGTGCGAGTGATGTGTGTTGGTTAGTGTGCATCAATTAAAGCAGCGCATTAATATAGAACGGTGATAAAACTGACTTGGAACTACCTGTGCATTAAACGGGTTTAATGCATGCATCCCTGCCAGCCAATCAGAATGCAGTATTCAGACAGACCATGGAATAAATATCAAGATAAACATAAATACTGCATCAATTAAAGCAGCGCATTAATATGGAACGGTGATTAAACCGACTTGGAACTACCTGTGCATTAAACGGTTTTACTGCATACTCGCCAACCAATCAGAATCCAGTATTCAGACAGACCATGGAATAAATGCTTTATAAGTACTAATAAACAACCAATATGTTAGTAATATGCATGCTAACAAGCAACTTGTTACTAGTGAGAATTGGTCTCTATACTGAAATGTTCCCTAAAATTGTTTTAACAATTAAAAAATGGTAATAAAATAATATCTGTTGAAGTAATTGGCATTCCACCTTTTCCCCTCTTCAGCCACCCGTGATAGAAAACTTATGTGCATAAACTCCCGTTGGCATCCCTGTCCCCATCAGCCGCCTAAACTCTATTCTCCACCCATCTGCTCTGTAAAAAAGGCTAAGCTCTGACTCACCACATGCAAATGAAGATGTAATGCAATTACAAGACGTGCAATTAATTTGATTTGCCCATTCCCTTCGTGATGTCGCCTCTGTCCAAGGACACGGCTTTCAAAAATGACAAAAAATGACTAGGGAACTTCACGTGCCATATTCCCACCCGTCACGTTCAGCCCAAGCTGATGGGGTGGCTCTGGCTGCCGCTGACCTTGCAACACCTTTTAAGTTGCTGAAGACATGGAATGGATTGTTGGAGGTTTTCCTGAATACTTAAAAAAAAACATTCCTGGAAGAATTTATTGACAGTTGTAGGGTAACATAACCCTTCAGAACTGACATTGAAGTCCGTGGTTTGAGTCTGGGTCAAGAATTTAAAGATGTTTCTTTTCTCTCCATCTTGTGTTTTGTAGGTGACCCAGCAGCAGAGGAGTGGTCTCAGTGGAGCGTGTGTTCGCTGACATGTGGGCAGGGTTGGCAGGTTCGTTCTCGTTCATGTGTATCCTCTCCGTACGGGACCCTCTGCAGTGGCCCGCTGAGGGAAACCCGACTCTGCAACAACACTGCCACCTGCCCAGGTGAGCCGCAGCATCAAGCAGGTAGAGTACCTCCATGCTTTTGGATGCCCATCTACACATTCACATTTTCTCACACACTGCATGAGCAGGTCAAATATCATTAAACGTTAGTTGAATGTTTGCTTTTGCTTTGTAAGTAAACATTGGACAGTGCAAGAGAAGAATCTGCAGCTATTAGATGATTTGGTTAGCATTATTTCTTTTGCATGGCACACACATTTACTCTCTCCACTGCATGCTTGAAGTACATGTGCGTCACACACACTGCATTTTTGTTGAGTATCTATTGTGGAACTGCGTACATTGGGCACTTTTGACACTCTTTGTACTGCATTGATATAAATCAAGCTGTTCAGTCTTTTTTGTCCATGTATTTGAGTATGTACACTTGAGTTTGGTGTGCATCAAGGTTGTGTGATTCAGGTGAGGTCAGTCTCACTCTTATTTATTTTATTTTAATTTTTGCACGTCTGCACATTGGTTTTCACCAAAATGAGGATCGGCATGTTAAAAACACACCGTTGAATGGACATTTGCAGTCCTGGATGCTGATTGGTCAGTTCAGCATTCAAGAGGTGCTACAATCCACATTATACAACAGGGACGTTTCACTGTTTGTATCACTCAGCTTGTATGTGTTCGTTCCAGACAGGCTGCCTGTTAGTGTGTATGTTAGAGGTGGGGGATTCAGTGACTCTTCTTGCAGGTTACATCGATATGCCTGTAGGTGACGACAAGTGACTGTCCTTGTGAGTGAGTCATTGAATTGTTCATTCAATCGATTTCTTCAACAACAGATCAATGCTGTCTTTACGAGTGGGAATGTCTGGATGTTTTAATTAAATAACCATTGCAATTGTTGTTAGCTGTAAGCTGTGAATGCTGACAATAAAATTTAGCGTGCCCACATTATCTTTTCATTTTAGCTGATTTAGGATATCTCTTATGTTGCATTAATTCATTTGCTCAATGTACACTGCTGTTCAAAAGTTTTTGTTGTTGTTGTTTTTTGTGTTTGTTTGTTCTATTCATCAAAAAAAAAATTTCATTTTTAAAAAGTATCTTGGTTTCCACAAAAATATTAAACAGCAAAACTGTTCTCAAAATTGATGATAATAACAAATGTTTCTTGAGCACAAAATCAACATATGATTCAAATAATAATTTCTGAAGGATCATGTGACACTGAAGACTGGAGTAATGGCTGCTAAAAAAAAATCAGCTTTGCATCACACTAATAAATTACATTTTAAATATATTAAAATAGAAAATGGTTATTTTAAATTCCAATAATATCTCACAATTAGTTATTTATTTATGCTCAAATAAATGCAACCTTGTTGAGCATAAGGGACTTTCAAAAACATAAAAATCTTACTGAACTCAAACTTTTGAACAGTGGTGTACAGTACATGTCATAGACTTGTATATGTACTACAACTAAACTATATTAAACACATAGCACAACAGGTCATATATTATGGCTTGAAACATTTCCCAATCCACAAACCTGTTTGGGTCTGATCATCCCCTCTTCTTTTTTCTGCATTTGTATTGTTTTGGAGATGGAAGGAGATTATTTAATACATGTCTATAGTTAAGACCCCTATCAGCCCAAATAATTTCACCAGGGGCTTTTTGAATGATGTTCCTGCTTTGTCTTTAAATGCTGAGTAGTAGATGCAAATCTTCATGCTTACAAGGCATATATAGATTGTCCATTGTTGCATATCATCAGCTGTGTAAGTCCTTCTGTGTGTTAATGCTATATTTATGTAAAACAGGATAAATCAATTTACCTCTCACTTGTGCATTCAGCCTGAGTTCTGATATTCAACGTCTGATGAGATGGTTGCCATGTTCAGCACTGGGCATTTTTCAGTCTCTCCAAGAGTCCAGATCGACACTTTAGGATGTGATTTAAGGACAGCAGCAGATGATCTCAGCCGAGTGAGCAAGAAGAGAATGGTTTCGCCTGGAAATATCTGCTTGCCGAGGATTGGATCTGAACAGGGATCGATGAAGCTCAGATATGAGCGACATTACGTTTAGACACGCAAACTTTTGGAATGCATAGATTTTCGATGCTATAGGACAGAAAAGCTGATTATAGAGAACTACAGGTGCATCTCAATAAATTAGAATGTCGTGGAAAAGTTAATTTATTTCAGTAATTCAACTCAAGTTGTGAAACTCGTGTATTAAATAAATTCAATGCACACAGACTGAAGTAGTTTAAGACTTTGGTTCTTTTAATTGTGATGATTTTGCCACGACATTCTAATTTATTGAGATGCACCTGTATGTGTCAATAAAAAGGTTAACAAGATGGACAGAAATAAGAATGCGAGATCCTCGCTGTTGACTTTTTTGAGCATTTTATACTATTTATGCTGACAACATAAGCAGGCAGGCAATATTTACTAAAGGGACACAAAATTTGGCAGAGAAAGACAATTTGAACCGGAGCAGAGCCACATGTGTGTGCGTGCATGTGTTCATAGATTACTTTCACTCCACAGGAAGTGTTTAACAGGGATGCGCACTGGCGAAAAGGGACCGAGTGTCTTTGAGATTAGCCTGAGCTAGCGTAGCTTCAGCATAGTTTAATGCTCAATAGAAGTCCCTTGGTCCTTCTTTTGGCTTTCATTCAAACAGAACTCAATTGATTTGCGAAAGCAATTATGGCCAGGTTTATTTAGTTTGAAGGAGAGTTATTATTCAAAATTGATCAAGCACAGCCTTCAAATGAAATGGGTACTTTTAAAATAACAGCAATTCTGGCTGCAGTCTTAAATTGCCCTCTGTTTGCTCATTAGCTAATCCCAATCTAGAGCTCAGTCTAATTTGTGGACACAAGCCATCGATAGCTGTTTCCATCAGAATTAACACTGCAGATTCTTGAATTATGTTCTCTTTTGCTTTCTCAGGAATGGTATGGTATGTTTTACCATGTAAGCTTTAAGATTGGTTTGTTTTTCATGACTGCATTTCTAGGTAATACATTGTTTCATGTATCCACACATCTCAAAAGAGGAAAATAAGAAAAACAGAGGCCAGCTGTCATACTTTTGGAGAAAAAAATGGCATTTTATGGAATGCAGTTGACCTTTTGTATAGCGCAAAATGTTTGTCAGTTGTCACAATGGAAGCTGCCAGTAAGCAGTCTATTTAGGCTTTTCAGTCAAATTTAAACACAACAAAAGCAATTCATGATAAATGTAATACAATAGCAATACAATAAATGCAACAAAATAATTTTTCAAGCAAATTTAAACGTGACAACCTCGACCTGAAAAATACCCTTGTTTTAAGATCATAGATCAAGTCTTCAGAACATGGTTGATCCTTGTTTGAATGGTATTAGTTTGACTATTTGTTACCCAACAACTAAAACAAAATAAATGGTATTACATTTTTTGTTTGGAGGACTGAATTCACAAAATAATTACTCAAATGATTAAATGTTTAACACATACAAAACCACTGCTTCGGAAAATCCTGGACTTTTACCTCAAAATTACTATATATACTGTATATCAGGCATGACAACTAGCCCTAATCTCCTCTGTAACAAACATGAAAGAATGTGGTTTTCTTCTCAAAACAAAGGCAAATATATCAGTCAAAAGGTTTCCATGGCAAGATCACAAGTCATCTGCAATGCTAAACCTTGGTCCCAATGAAACCCAAAATCTAAATTAATCTTTTCATGATAGCCTTAAGAAATTCCTCTCAGTGCGTTTGAGGATGTGTCTAGCGCTGCTACATATCATTGTGTCTGGGCAGCAGAGCAGTGCTAGGCCAAACTCAATCTGCTCAACTTTAATGAAGGAACACTATTCAAAGCTTACGGCTCTATTGATAAATTAAATCTGATGCAATTATCTCAGACAGGTAAACTGACTCATGAGACCTAGAATCAAATGAGAAAACCATGTTTAAGTAAACTTCTGGTGGATGTATTTTTATTTTTTTTTTATTATTATTGTATTTTATTTTTTACTGCCACTTTTGATTGTTGTTTTGGCTGTCAAACATTTTGTGGTGTCTTCAGAGCCTAGTCATGTCCTTTGTGAAATTGAATAGAATACTCAAATAAATAAAGCAGCATATTAATGTCAGACTTTGTTCCGTGTTTTGTGTGTGTCTTGCTTCCCATGTGCCTTCCTATGCCCATATTTGGTTAGTTTCCTGTTCCTGTCCTGATTAAGTTCATTTGTCCCAGGTGTTTCCCTTGATGTTTCATTGCTCCCAGGTGTGTCTCGTCATCCCCTCCTCCTGTGTGTATAAATAGGGTTCCCTGTGTGTGCTCCAGCGTCCGGTATTGTTCAGGTCATGTTCATGTCTATGTCTACATGTATTGCGTGAGTGTTCCCTTGTATTAATTAAACCCATTTGGATTGATGTACTCCTCGTCTCTCTTCGTTCCTTGCTCCTCAGTCCGCTCAGCAGTGCACCCGTGACAGAATACCGGACCTAAAACTGAAAGTAAGCGGCATCCCTTCCCCGTGTTTAATTTCCCGCCATTTTGAAAGTTTTTTTTGCTTCCTAAATGTGGCAAGCCGAAAGGACGTTATTGTGGCAAGCCCGAAGGACGTTAATGTGGCAAGCCCGAAGGACGTTAATGTGGCAAGCCCAAATGCTGTTTGTGCAGGATTATGGGTGATGTGGTTTCTCACTTGGGAACACAGCTCTAGTTCAAATGCAACAATTACCTTATTGTTCATTCTGATGGGGATTTGGTGCTTGGCAATATACCCTGTAATCATATTTTTCTATTGGTAATTTAATGACCTTACATTTTAACTTTTTTTAAACTTTTTTTTTTTTTTTTTTTTTTTTTC